TTTGATTGCCTTGCATTTGCCTCAGTTTCCACCTGTTGGTTTTTAGAGGGAATCTAACACTCCTGGATTGCTTTATTGTTTCCAGGGGACTTACGCAACTGCACTCCAGTCAAGCGAGGCAAGGTGTGTAGGGAACCTCATAATGGTGGCCCTTGACTAAACAACCCCCTGATCCTAAAAGGAGTTTCTCATTCTGCGGATCCTTCACTTCCAAGGAACCCTGTGCAGAGTCAAGCATTGAGTTTGAGCTTGCCACTATGCGATGCCAACAAACATCCACAAAGTGGCAGAGAAGTCATGAGGATTGCATTAGCACCAGAAGGATTATTTCCTGGAACCCTGTTCAAGGCCTGGTAGGGTTCGAGAAGCCGCGTCATGCCGGGAGAAGGAAATCGTGGTCGGGTTAGTAAAAAACGACCGGAAAAGGTTCAAGCACCCAAGCAAGGTTCAAACGCCCGAAAGGTTCAAGTGCCAGAAGGTTCATAGGCCTCAACAGCCTGAAGCACCCCAGATGGTTCAAAGACACACATGTGAAACCACTCAAAACGCATACAAGCCCCCGACAAGGTTACCCAAACGGTTCCAAGACCCAACAGGTTCAAACATCCCACAGGGTTCAAACACCCAATTGGTTCAAACTGTGATCATGTTCAAGCCCCTCAAACAAATCAAACTTACCAAAGGTTCAAAGGCTCAACCTGGTCGGCCCTCAAACACCTTAGACAGCGCGTGTCATTTCGCCGACGGCCCCGGAGATTGGATCGCGCTCGGACGGGATACGATTGATTTGGGAGGGGCATTGGGGGACGAGCTCTAGATTTCCCACAAAAAACAGAGGACAAGCCCTAATGTACCCACATCCTTTTGGGTAGCCACATAATTTGACCGTGGCGCGTATGAGGTTTTGTCGCTAGTAGTTGTTACCCCTTTTGGGACAAACTTTGTGAGACGGACGATTTGAGACAAACCCATGTAATTGTGCGCACTTAAAATGAAACAGAAACTGAACTTTGTCTTTCTGCGGTACTTTTGTTGAGGATACATGTCCTTTGGACTGGCTCAGTCGCTCCTTCAGCCTCCAGCGCTTGTCTCAAAGCCCCCCCGCCCCCCGCCTGGGTTGTGTTTCTCAACTGTCGAAGTGTGCCCGAAGGTGCTGCCAGGCTGCCATCCAGGTGTTTGCTTTGAGTGTTTTCTGTAAATATGGACTGGGGGGGTCACCCACTAGATGGTTGTTAAAAGTTGACAAGCGAGCGTTAAACTTGTCTGATCATGTTGAGAATCTGAGAACATCAGAGGGGGGTCTTGATGCAGGCCTTGTTGGGAGTCCCAAAGGACTGGGATGTCCAATGAGGACCAGGGAAGTCCGTTTCAGACTACCAGAAGTTGGAAAAATGTACGGCTTGCTTTACCAGCTGATTGCAACTTGGCTTTAGTGGAAGAAATCGAACCAAATCAAACAATGCACAAGTCTTTCAGAAACTAAAGATGGGCATGTCTTTTGTTGCAGGTACCCGTTCTGAAGGATTTAAAGGAAACCAAAAGGAACCCGCCCATGAAAAGGAGGGTTCCTCTATTTCGAGACTATTTCGAGACTCAGACTAACCGCCACGAACAAATGGTCGGAAAACAGGGGGATTGTAAGGTTTTCGCAGGGTCCGAATTCTGCAAGTAAGGTGGGCTTGGTCTTGGACAAGTGTCACTAGCCCCAGAGACACAACGGAGTTTTAACATGGAGTCAACAGAGTCAACCAATTTATTGTCCAGCCAATTCTACCAACTCTTCCATGCAATCAAGCAACCACCATCACATGCTTTTTCCACATCGTCTGGGGCAATGGAGGGCTTGAGAACCGAGGCTGAAGCGAGAAGCTGGCACTGGTGTCCGCGACCCACTGGAGGAGAAGCATCCCTTCTATGCCACTTCGCAAGCGAAAGACGCCATGGGGCGGAAGCCGTTTTTGCCGATATGGGCTTGCAAAGGGGTAGTGTTCCTTGTCCCTTTAAACATCTGGAAGCCAGCTTCCAAACAATAAATGCATACAGACCCATATTGGCATATTGGTGTTCTTCTTTTTGAAAACTTCCCAAAATAGTGGTTTTCTTCTTGGTTTCCCTTTCAAACCCCTGAAAGACTAGGTAGGCGGCTGTCTCGCCGCCCTCGCTGCAATCGACATGTTGAACATTCCCTGCGTTGTGCAGTGTATTCTGCTTTGTCTTATTTTGGGGGCTCCAACCCACCGTCCCGCCAAGCCTGCCGCAGCGCGGCTTTGAGGCTGTTAGGTTTATGCGTATACGAGCATGCACAAGTGAGCAAGCGACAAGCGTAGCTGATATACAAGTACCGTACCTCCATCCAGTGCAAGCCATCAATGCAACATGCTCGAAGAAAATCTGTCTGCGTTGAGACCCCGCCAGCACGAGACAAGTCGGGCGTGAGAAGTCCGCCGGGAGCTCATGTATGTAGAATATGAACATATGTGCCAGCATGCACGCAAGTAACCATGCAGCGCGCGGACGGGCAGTTAACATATGTGTACGACACGGGCAGATGTACGACACAGGCAGCCATGCAGCGCTTGGACGGCCATTGCTGCACGAATCACGCGGACAAAAACGGACCAACACCTACGTTTCGCGCTCATGAATGGCCAAACAAAAACGGGAGTTTTGCACGCACAAACATGAAATGAACGCTGGCGTGGAAGGACAACGCATAGAACAACGCAGGGTTTTGAGAGTCCGCATCAAGAGAAGGGGAACAAGGACAACAAACAATAATCAAAAATAGGGATTGGGCGACGGGTCAGCCGGCTGGCAAAAACTACAAACCCGTATGGGAGTTTCTCAATTTGGTGGATCCTCGGGTTGGTAACAGAACAGCAGGAAGTCGGAGCCCCTTGGCGCATCAACTTTTTACTCTCCGCTATGAAATTGAGAGTGGACTCCGCAGTGGACTCTTGAGGGCCCCTTTGAGGGGTTGATTTAAGGAAAGCCGAAATAAACGTTCAGCCAAATCCCAGTTTGTTTGGGTTCGGGTGTAGGATTCCGCTTGACATCTAGAGGGTGGAACGCCGGCCCCGCATTTCTTGTGGGTCACTTTTGCGATCGGAGGGAAAGTCATGATGTAAAGGGCGTTAGGGTCCCAAATTTGTCCTTTGGCCAAAGATCCCCGCCGGTTTCGGTGGGGAGCCCACATGGGATTACATCGGACCTTTGGTTTGACCATTCTTCAGGAATGAGCGATTAATGGCCTAACCCTGGGTGTTGAAGCAGTGTGTCAGGGTTCCTACTGGCTTCGGTGTTCCCTGCTTGATCTACGATACCACTACACCCAGTTACCCCCACACCACTTTAAAAGGGGGTATTTGCTGCTCTTCCCATGCGCGGGTAGTGGTTTAGGGGTAGATTCCGAGATCCCATTTCAAAAGGACGAGGTCAAAACTTAGCGCGCCTTGGTGGGTTGCTATTGTTTTACCAGCGTTCCCACTTGCCATTTGAATTGGCGAATGTTCCAGATATAGCGCCAGCAATCCGCATCACCAATGATTTCATGACAGTGACTATATAGAATTACTTTCTGAGTGGTAAGGTAGAGACCGCCAGAACCAGAGGCTCGCTCCGTGGAAACAGGAGATCCCTGTCCTGGGGCCTGGTTAGCGAAATGTATGAGCCACGCCACGCCCTAGGACAGTTGGTTTGGTTGATTGACCGCAGGGTATGGCTATGGGCAACCAGCGGGCACTGGCTTCATAAATGGATCTATACACTCAGGTCAGGGAAACTAAGTTGTTTGTTCTATAGATTCCTGGTTCGACATTCAATCAGCCTTTCAGTAGTTTGGGGGGTAGTTTTGGGGATGCTGGACCACATTTTGGAACTCTCCCAAGCTGCAAGGGCTATGGAACAACCTCTTGAGGTCTTGATTGAGACTTCTGGCTCGGACGGGGACCACGATGAGCAGAAGCTGCACAACTTCTTAGAGGCGTGGGAGTCCATGTCCATTCCCAGACTCACTTCCCGAGTTTTGAACTTGATATTTTGTTTTAACTTCCCGAGTTTCTGGGCGACTTCGGCCAACAAACTCGATCGGAAGTGAGTCGATCGGTGCTAAACAGCCCGCAACCCATTGGACACCTGAGCTTTCTTTTGAGTACCCAAACAAAGCAGTCATAAGAAGTGGACCTGGAGTTTATGGGACGAAAGTCTCACCGATGCAGGGGTAGTTCCAAGCGAAAAAGAGGTATGATGGTCCCTTTACTTGAGTCAACTCTTATTTTGCAGTCTTTGGAAGCACCGTAGAGTTTTGCGGATTGGATGCAGTTCATCAGATCCATATGGTACATGCAGTTCTTTTTGGATCTTGGAGCTTGTGTGACCCCTTTGAACGCGAGGAAACTGTCAAGTCGGTGGAAATTAAGAAACATTGGGGCAACGTGTCTGTTCGACTCACAGCGTTCCCCTTACCAGCAACCACTCACAAGTTCCCTTATGGTACCAATCCACAAGTTTCCACGGTCTCAAGCCGGCAAACGCTCGAAAGGATGGTTAAGGGATCTGGGTTTCCTGATTTTAGTCACTTGTTCGGTTTGGACCGTTTGGCAAACAAACAGTTTGAAGTATGTTATCACTCCCCAATGTTTTGGACTTCGTACTTTTTGGGAAGACCATTTTAGTGGGCAGCAAAAAGGTTGGAATTTGTTTGCACTTTTTTCGCTCAAGTGAGAGGTGGCTTCAGGGTTCGATACGACTCCAGCCCTGTCCTACACCACACCTAGCCGCCATGTTCCTCTTCAGGACGTAGCACTCGCACAGACTCAGCACCAGGTTGTTTTCGGATCCCAGCTCAAACCCGTCTTTGTGCGTTGCAGTCAAGGTGATCTTGGGAGAAGCTGAGAAATCTTACGAAGGTTCATGGATCCAGTTATCATTCTTGTTTACCCATCCTTCACTGAAGAAACCCCCAACAAGTATCCCAAAGTATCTTGTGTTCTGCTGGTAGAAAAACGTGCAGATTCCTTTCCGAGACAACAAAGGGTTCAGTTGGCATTTCAACTCTGCCAAACCAGCAACAGGATACAACAGGGTGGGATTGATTGAGCATTGGTAGGGACTTCCTAAGGGCCAAAACTTCTATAGGTGACGGGTTGGGACCTTGCCCTTGGGGTCGCACGCATGTTTCTCAGGTTTTCCCGTACTTCCCCTTAAAGGGTGGCTGTAGACATCACCGTTTGCATCCATTTAAAGTGAGTTTCCCCTCACCTTTCCTTTCTTAGTCATGTCACCAAAAGGTTGTGTCCAGGTCCAAGTGAGAAGGGAAAATGTAGGGGCCCTCTGTATAACCTCTCAGGCTGCCATGGGCGAAGAGTCGACAGTCCTGGACGGAGTGGTGGCGGCTGACGAGACCCAGGATCGCGGATGCAATCGCCGAGAGGTGTAGGGTTGGTCAAAGTGTGTCGAAGCAGTGTATTCTCCGTTCGGGTGTGTCTGTTTTTAGAGGTCCCCCCACAATGGTTGCTTTCCTCTTGCTTTCGATTTAACAGCCACACAATGGGGTACCCTCGAAAAATGACACACCCACTTCCGTTTTTGGAAACTCTATAACCCACCATCACAAATGCTGCAAGCTTTGACTGGGAAATCGAGTGATCCGTGTCAAACATCCTCGGCTAAAAAAAATCAACAAGCACCTTCAAGAGGGGGGAGTTAGGGGAGGTACAGTTTTCATGGTGGATCCTGACTCCTGTTGGTTTCCCTTTGTTTTGCAGGTTGGGGCTTGTTGGTTCCCCAGAAAAGCACGCTTGAGCAGCGGGCTTATAGTTGAACCCACTCACGAACATCCCCACCCCAGAGGCAAAGGGCACCCAAAGATAACTGCCGCAGTCATCGAGCGGAGGGCTTCAACCCCCACCGCGAAGTTGTTCAACATCGGGTACCCTCCCTCGCACGAACATGGAACCTGCCAGGGGGACCCTTGAAAAGGACTCTGATCTTCCAAGTGTGCCATAGTGGGAGGAAGGGACTAGACACCGTGTATCAGGTGTATACATTCTTCCCCTCGCGGGGGAAGCAAAAATCCTCTTGAAACATGTGGGAAAAGCACTCACTTGATACTGTGGCCAAGGTCATCTCTAGACTAGTCGTTTCTGGGAGTTTCGTGATCGCCATCTTTGCCCTCGACTCAAAGGATAAGCAAAGAAAATACAGTGGGTCTGTTTTTGTTGCAGTGAACCCCCACAAAAAGCATGTGGTGTTCCTGTTGGTTTCCCTGCAAAACCCCCAACAAGGGAACCCTCAAGAAAAGACAGACCCAAGAAAATCCCAGGTTCAGGGTGGAACGTTGACCAAGATTCGGATGCAGAATGTCTGGTGACACCTTGTAGCCTACGGCCCAAGTTTAGCTTGCTTTGAACTTCTGGCTAACTGTTAGGAGTTTAAAGCAAGTGGAGGATCAACTTGGACACCCTACAGAGTGTGCTTAAATTACCAGGGTTGTGTGGCTGGACGTGATGGGTTCACTTGGAATATTTATGGGCCCTAAGAATCTCGGGCCCGTTTTGAGGTCCAACACCTTCCGATGGAGGCCCTAAGCCCTTCAATGGAGGTTCCTATGATTTTCAGGCGGACTTTAGCAACTAGAGGTAGAGCGTTTCCCTGGGTACTTGGATGTTCAACCCACAAGTAAATGTCAACCGCGGTTATAAGGGGACCAAACCCAGCCCAAGATATGACCATGGCTCTCACCTACTTATTAAGTTGTTGAACATCCAAGTAGGAAGCTACTTGACGCGACAGGCCCGGGCCATTTGGCGCCTCCGTGAGGGCGTGAGCGATGCCATGACCACTGCGGGCTATGCGCCCTGGACGTTTTATGCAGCCGACTTGGGCTCCCCCAGAAATCGTTGGACCCTTTGAAGGGGTCAGGACCGAAGGTTGGACCTAACAAAGATGCTTCGGGCTGCGTTGTTTTGAGGATGCCCTTTTGTCAGGTATTCCTTGGTTTGGGTTTGTGGGTTCGGAATTCAAACCCCTGATTCTTATCGAGGGTAAATGAGTCGGAAAAAACAAAAACCGTTGTATGTGTCAATGCCAGGCATGATCCCAGGTCTTTTGGACCTATCAAATTAGCTGCACCGCCGCTTGTAATTTGAATGGCAGGAGTGTGTTGCAGGAGCGGCCGCGCAAGTCAAACATGGGGCCGCGCAAGTAAAGCGCAAGTGAAGCGCAAGTGACGCAGTGATGATTCATCATCATCATCATCATCATCATCATCATCATCATCATCATCATCATCATCATCATCATCATCCGCATGGTCGAAAGAATCCGGAAGATTGCTAAATTTTCGCGCAAGTCGCGCGCAAGTCGCGCGCAAGTCGTAGATGCCTTGGATCAGGAGTGGCCCATTTCTGTAGTTTGCATTTTGTTTCTGCAGATCCCAGCAATGAGTTGCAGCAGCAGCCAGCAGCAGCAGCCAGCAGCAGCAGCCGCAGCAGCAGCAGCAGCCAGCAGCAGCCGCAGCAGCCAGCAGCAGCAGCCAGCAGCAGCCAGCAGCCAGCAGCAGCAGCAGCAGCAGCAGCCAGCAGCAGCAGCAGCAGCAGCCAGCAGCAGCAGCCAGCAGCAGCAGCCGCAGCAGCAGCAGCAGCCAGCAGCAGCAGCAGCAGCAGCAGCAGCAGCCAGCAGCAGCCGGCAGCCAGCAGCAGCAGCAGCAGCAGCCAGCAGCAGCAGCAGCAGCCAGCAGCAGCAGCCGCAGCAGCAGCAGCCGCAGCAGCAGCCAGCAGCAGCCAGCAGCAGCAGCAGCAGCAGCCAGCAGCAGCAGCCAGCAGCAGCAGCAGCAGCAGCAGCCAGCAGCAGCAGCAGCCAGCAACAATTGCAGCGGTGTACACAACTGAGACCTCATACACTTAAACTTAAGGGGCATGTTTTTGGGGGACCTCACTCTTATGAAGACCGCCGCTTGGATTTGCAATGAAAACATCCTGGGATAAGAGTTTTAATACGGTTTTTTTTTCCAGCTCAAATGGGAACCCACCCCCTCACCACCAGACCACCCATTGGAAGGAAGCTGAATTTCAAGGTTGTCAAACGGAAACCAAACAGAAATACAGGGGTACATTTTGACACATTCCCATTGTGGCGTCCCGGACGCCTCCACATCGCCTCCACATGAAGATGCAAACCCGCTCAAGGCAGCTTCACACAATTTCTCCCACACTGAGAGCCACGCTGTCTCCACTTACACTGCGTCCTTGTTGGGAATGCCAGCTCCTCTGGCAGTCTGTAGAGAGCTCGGAATGGGCAGGGGCTTTTGTGGGCTTAGGTGTTGGGTCCGTTGCGTGTGTTGGGCTTGGCTGTTCGTTGCCATGTTGGTGGCCTACCTAGCTTGTGCTGGAAACCCAGTCATGTTGTTTTGCAGCACCCCTTTGCTTCCCATACAAAAGCAAGAGAAGTTGCCAGATAAGCAAAAAGCAACACCTATGGCGGGCGACAATGTGAGCCAGGCGTCCGTCCGATCGTATCGAGGACTCAAACCGCAGGCTTCTAATCCGAGAACCGCATCTGTGCCCTGTTTGATCTTGGAGGTTTCCTGTAGTCACTTGAAGTCTGGAGAAGAATTGAAAGTGGCAAATAAGAAGTACAGCTGGGGCGCCTTGTCAACTGCACAAACACAATCAGGAAGAAAGTGAAGGAGACAGTCCTACCCTAGAAACACTGTGGATTGGCAAAGCCCTGCACCAGTGGGTAGGGAGCTTTCCAAATATTTGTAGGGCTTCATCCATTAAACTGGTGCAGGGTTTCCCCACCCCCACAGCAGGCTCGCAGATCCTTGGGGTCTCTGTTGGGATACCACCGGGGCTCATGCACATGGAGTTGGGTTGACACCTTTGTTCCTCATTTCAGCCTTCTTCTTTGGTTTGGCGGGATCTCGATTAATGAAGGAGGCGTTGCCAACCTCAAAGACCTCAAAGCAGATTGATTCCAAACCTTTCTTTACCGGACGGGTCAGCGGCCGTGTCGCAACTGGGATGATGCAGGGGAACACAGAGCCCCGTTTTTGAGGTGTTCATGTTGTTTCTTAGTTTGGTTCCATGCTTCAGCAAAGTAAAAGACCAGCAGAATGCCAAGCTGGCTCCACCTAAGGCCGCAAGCTCTAAATTCTTGCAAGCGAGGGAATGAGGGCCAATAGTTGGTCTACCTGCACCATGCTTGGCGTCCTCCTCAGAACATGTTTGATGTGGACATCTGAAAATGTGCTTTTTTGGTGTACTCTGCGGGGCAGCCGAGATTTGGATGTTCAACCCATGCAGGAAGTACAATCATGGCCACGCTACAAGCGAGGCAACCCCAGATGGTTGCCATATTAAACGGGTGAAACATCCAGGTGGGTGGCCTGGAATGGGGGTAAGGTCTACAAGTACGACGTGTCGCTGCCGCTGCCGCGGATGTACGAGCTGGTGGAAGAGACCCGTGCTCGACTCAAAGAGGCCGGAGTGGAGGACCCCGGAGCCTCGTTTCGTTTCGGCTCAGTTAATTGCTTAGTATACCTTACTTGGTGGTTTGGTTGGTTGCTTGGGGATTTGAACCCCCGCTTCCTGCAGCGGCAAGTCAGAATCCACTCCCCAAATGGGCAGCCATTTTTTCTGGAATCAAGGGTTTATACACAAAGGGAACTGCATGGTGTTCGCGTAGGCAATTTAGGTGGGGGTAGTCAGGTCAAAGTTTGAAAGGAAGCTTGGAAAAAATACCTTCCGTGGTACCGGAGCTTGAGTCGCGCTGTCTCTGAGAATTGGGCGCATTGGCACAGCTCGCATTGCTTCGCAACCATCGAACGGTCAACCCTTCGCGATTTTTGCGGGGTCAACCCTAAAAAAACCGTGTTTGGCCTTACGCCGACTTGCGGGGGGTCGGCCTCGAACAATCTGTGTGGAAAACACCTTTTGTTTGCTCGCGCAACAAAAGGTGAACCCTCTGGAAACGTTCAGGGGGTCGAGTCAAACAACTCTTGGTTTCTAAATGTTCACTTTCGTGGGCTGGAGGGAGAGAGGAAGAAAGAGACAGGGAAGGAGAAAGAGAAGGAGACAAAGAAAGAGAAAGGGAAAGCGACATGGAGAGAGCGAGAGAGAGAGAGAGAGAAAGAGAGAGGGAGAGAGAGTGAGACAGAGAAAGAGAAAGAGAAGGAGACAGAGATAGATACTATGAACAAATATAGTGTGGAGCACGCTTGATTGTTTCTTCCCTCTCTCTCGTTCTCGCGTTCTTCATCGTTCTTATTATCTTTCTCTGTCTCTGTCCCTTTCTCTTTCGCTCGCTTTGTCTCCCTCTCTTTCGCTTTCCCTTTCTCTCGAAATCAGGATTCGGTCCCCTAGAATGTCATTGACCTCCTTGTAGTTCCCCTTTAAATGGCGGTGTCTTGTTTGAGGGTACCCTTTTTGGTGGTTTTAAAGAGAAGCCAAAAAGAAAATCCACCCACTTTTGGGGTTCCCTAAAACACGACACACCCAAATACCAACCAAAAGACAGTCCGAATCCCATGTTGAAAACCCACAGGTTTCCGCATGTCCGGGCAGCCCTGGTTTCGGTTCCTGGATTCCAGGTTTCGGGACTAAAGGTGGCATGAGCTCGCCATGAAGGTCCTTTTGCTTATCCTCCATGTTCTTAAGATGCTTGTGTTTTGTCTGGTTTTGAAGGGAATCTATCGCCACTGGCAATATGGTGTCATTTTGTTAGGGGACTTAAGCAACTGGAGGCTAATGGACTTGTTTGTTTTTGATGGGAGGTGTCCGTAAGTAAACTGCCAACACTCAACTACTCCAAAACAATATTTCCGTTTTGTTGGGAGGGGGGTCCTTTTAAAATCAACGACTGAAGGGGTGCCCTCGTTGGTCTTCTGTGTGGAAGGGGCGACGAGTGGTCTGTTGCATAAAACCTACGCACTCTCCAAGTTCCCAGTGTTTTAAGACTATGATGTCAACCCCTGACTCTAAACGGACGTATTTACTGCAGGAAAAGCCCGGGTTTTCCAAATGTACTCTGAAAGGTGAGCATTTGCACCCTGGAGGATATGGGGAATTCGCCTTTCCAGGATGGGGGGATGTTTGTTTTCTCCCCCCCCCCCCCTCCACACCGATTCTTTTGCCGGGTGGGGGAGTCATCTTCTTTTAAGTTTTGCTTGTTGTTTGCGCAGGACACCGCCAAAGCTGCTGGCTACGGGCATCTAGGCGAGTTGCTCTCGCTGTTTGTCATCTTGCGAGAGCAGCGCACAGAGTTCTAAAGGGTCCACGTTCTGATTCCGTCGGCGAGGTCGCAGATAACCCGTTCCAAGTATGGGTAGGGATCTTAACATTCCAACATATTTGTTTGGATCACCGTAGTGTTTGGACTGGAGTCACTTGGAATTGGACCAGTAAGTTTCGGGCGAAATCACTCAGGAAGTTCGAGGGCTCTACCCCCTATTATTTTCACCCAAGTTTCTTTTGAAGCCAACCTCTTTCACTTAGCGCTTCTTACCCACCTATGTAGCGGTCAAGGTTGGTTTTCCTCTTTGGGGGGAGACGGGTACAAACATCAGCCCCAATGTGCAAGGGGTACACAACTTTTTTTTGCAGGCCTATTTTGAAATAACCGAACAAGCACGCCGTATCAAATCTCTTTTGGTGATTCAAGGGAAGGGCCGCACCCAAGGTGCCGTTCGTTGGGGCAAACCATGGGAAATCCTTCGCCTTCGTTTTGCCACTTTCGGCCAGCCCAGGGAATTGCCAAAGTTGAGAACGTAGTCTCACTCCCTGAGATGGTGGACTTACTTTTTGGGAAGACCATGTGAGTGGTCAACAGAAGTTTGGACTTTTCCTGACTCCACTCAAGAAGTAATTCAGTAGTTGGGAATGACCCATGTTGGTATCACCACGGAAGATGTTCCACATGTATGAGTGAGTGTCAAAACTACTGGTAGCCTATTGCTGCTAGTTGTGGGGGGATTTGAAATTTGGGGGTCCACCCAAATTCCCTTTCTAAAGCAAACTCTGGCGACTAATTCAATTTCTCCATGCAAACATCATGCTGCTTGCATATTCCTTTCAAGGGGCTGAACCCAGTTCTTCCACTGTTGACTATGGGTAAAGGTCACCCTTGTCAAAGGGCACAGGGGATACAGGGAAAGCTCTGTTCTGGGATGGCTATACTGGAAAACCAGAAGAGGGGACGATGGGTCCCTGCAAGGAATCACCGGCATCACCACGGTTTGTTGGTTTGCGACGGTGATGTACCCTTTGAGGACGTCTTAACGTGTGCCGTGCGTGTGTCATTCTTGGGGGAACCGGAACCCTGTTTTGGTAGCTTCTTTGGCAGGGAAACTCAACAAATTCACCCATGGCTCGCCTTGCCACAGTGCTTTGAACTAAACGAGATCAGCTTCCCTCTAATTGGTTGGTCTACATTGGTGGTTTGAGGGTTGGTGGTGTCCCTTCCTTCTGCAAGAGCCCGGGATTTGAGTCAATCCCACTTCCCACCAATCCAAGCCACCAATTGAGGGAACCTGAGTGGAGGCAGGGAGGTTAAACCAACGCGGGGTATATACTGAGTTACAAGCTTATGGTGGTACTTCTACGCATCCCGCCCGATAACAAATACCCTTGGCTCACTCCCTGAATCCCTGGACTTTAGCCCCTTTGGGGAAGACTATTTTATTTTAGTGGCAAACAAGAGTTGGGTTACTTTTTGTGTTCCACTCGATCGGAAGTGAGAAGACTCCCCAAACCCGAACCAAAGGACCTGACTCTCGAGGTGATGCCAACCTCCATTTGAACGTGACCTCTTTGAGTGGCCGCGACGACAAGGTGCGACATCACGGGACTCCAAGCACCAAGTCCGAGTGAGTTGGGGAAATCGTGAGCAGTCAAGGAAAACGGAAAACAGGGCTTGGTTTCCCTTTCAGCATCCCAAAAACCCAAAAGAACAACAATTAGTTACCCCCACAAAATGGGCTTTGGCTTTCCGCTTTCACTTTGCTTTGGTTTCCAAAGAACAAAAATCCGAAGAACCCAGGCTTCACCAACAAGACACGCCCCACGTGAGCCAACATCCAAACCAACCCCGTTACACGGGTCAAATCAGCGCTACGCACATAATCCCCTCATGCCTGTGGAAAGTTATTGCTTTGTTTTTGCGTTTTCCCCCAGGATGTTTTTTGGATACCTTCACGCTTTAAGGTGTGCTAAATATAGACCAGAGTCAAGCAATTTATGCTGAGGCTCTGGTTGGAGTGTTGGAGGGCAAAAGCTGTGTTTGTTTCGTTCTGAGTCAGGAGAGATGCTACAGAAGGGTGAGGATTCCACATTTGGTTGCTTCTGTTATGTTTGAGCGGGGTCAGTTTGTGCGGACATACTCATACCAAAATGACTGGTTTCCTGTTGGCTCCCCTTTTAAACCAAGCCCAAAAGGGTACCGAGCCTCATAAATGACACTCCCATACGTTGATTTGTGAAGTTCTCCGAGAGGGTTTGTTTCTAGTTGGCGAGTTTCAACCATGCCAATGGTTGATTGACCTGGGATTGATACATGGTTCAGGAAGCAAGCCATCGAAGGATGAAGCCAGGAAAGGGGTGAAGCATTCCAGCGAGTGTTATACATAATAGATACATATGTTTGTATATATATATATAGATCTTTTGGATGACCTACCTGCGGACTCTCCATTTAAATGAGCCAAATCAAATGCCAAACAAATGCAAGAGATGTTGGACTGAACAGGACATCAGTAGTAGATACTAGAAACGTTTCCACTGGCGGTTCGTGGGCTGTGGACGCCTTGGATTCATAAAGCTTCTGTTGAATAGGGGCGTGTTCGGATGAAAAGTGATACGGATCCCCACTAAACGGGGGCCACTTTCCAATCAAAGTCAACCAGGCGTTCTGTCCCCAACTACAACGGGCGAAACTGGGTCTAGAAGCTTTTTTTGGTTGGGTGAGGGGAGTCGTGCGTCAACAAAAATAGGGTTTTAAGTCCCCCAAAGATTTATTTTTCCATCCGACGAGACATCCGCAGGTTCACGGGCTTTTGGAGCCCTGGGTCTTTGAGTGGGTGTCCCAGGCGCACGGCAGCAGCTCGACTTCTCAACGCGTCCAAATGGGTTTGTCTCAACATGATGGGACCCCCAAAGTGGCTGATTTCCTGTTGTTTTCTCTTAAAAGTAACTAAAAGGGTTTGTCATGTTTTTCACAGGATCACTTTTGGAGTTGTGTGAAAGGACACCAAAAGGAACACCGAAATCCAGTTTGGGGGTACCCGCACTTTGACATACCCAAATTGATTGAAACTGACTTTTCTAAATGGAGACTCGATCTGAACCCTTTTTGGGGGGTTGTTTCCGGGAATTGTTGGGGTCCTTTCTGTTGTTAGAACCCATACGACACAATTGAACACATGTTCTTTTCTGTATGTAACCAAGTTGGATCGAGAAAGTTCCCCCGTCGTGCAATGGAACGAAGTAATTAGAAGGGAGAGATCGGGACCCACGCCGGTAAGGTCTTTGGGGCAGTCAATTGATCCGGTGTGACTACGTATGTCCCTTAATTTGTGCTTTACCGGTGAGTGACAGTCGGATTTCAACATATTTGGATCTGCTGATTGTGGCTCCTACTACAGGAGTACTCAAAGCGAGCGGTTTGCAACACTACCTGTTTGACCGATTTAAGGTGGGTTTTCTTGGGGTGATGCTTTCCCTTAATCTCCTTTGACAGGAGGAAAGTACAAACCACCCCCCAAGGACGCCACAATTATGAATGCCTTTACCCACCTACTCCCTCTCCCCCCGTAAGGTAGTTGGGTCCTATCCCTAGGGGCTAGGAAGCTGATATATCAGCATTTTCCCTAAGCCTTCCGAATCTGAACCTAAGAGACCCCTCGATTTTGATCGGAGATTCGAGCTGCGTTACTTTGCTGCGGCCCCCTACCTAGGGAACTCATAAGAGATTCGAATTGCTCTTTCTGAAAGTGCTGCGTCACCCTAGCTTTCCAAAAACATGCTTCCCCAAGGTTTCCTAAGGCTTCCCCAGGGCTTCCCTTGGGCTTCTTTAAGGTTTCCAGCTTCCCCAACGCTTCCCTAAAACTCTGTAAGGCTTCCCTAAGGCTTTCGTAGACTTCCCTAGGCTTCCTTAAGGCTTCCCTAAAGAATCCCTGAGGCTTCCCTGAGGCTTCCCTAAGGGTCCCTTCCCAACCTAAATTGCAGGTTTGGGGACCCCCCCACCCCCTTGGCTGGTTTTGGAGGAACACCCAAAAAGGGAAACCGTTTCGCCATGGTTCGCCCATTTTGCGGCTTGGGGTTCCGGCATCATTTGATCCGATTTGGGCTTATTTGGTCATGGCTGATCCAAGTTGGCCTTATTTGGTCGCATGCATAAGCCCAACCTGATCTTCAAGCCCAATACGACACTAACACAATTGAACTAGGGCCCTTGAGCCCTATTTGGCCTTGGCGGTCTCCAGCTTCAAAACCAAGCTTTCAACCATTAAAAACGTGTGTGTGTGTGTGTGTGTGTGTGTGTGTGTGTGTGTGTGTGTGTGTGTGTGTGTGTGTGTGTGTGTGTGTGTCTGTGTGTCTGTGTGTCTGTGTGTGTGTCTGTGTGTGTCTGTGTGTGTCTGTGTGTGTCTGTGTGTGTGTGTCTGTGTGTGTGTGTGTCTGTGTGTGTGTGTGTGTGTGTCAGGGCCGGGTTCACCCCCGTCAGCTGGCCGGCCACCATGACTGCCCGGCCTTTGACATGAAGTGGTGAGTTGCCAGTGTCCCTTTTTCCATGTCTGCCCTTCCGGCCTTTTTCTTGTCCAGGTTGACCAATTCGGCATTTCTGGAGGAACACCCTCCCGCATCTTCCAGTCTGACTTTGCCGCCCATGTGAGTGTGTTGTGTTTGTGTAGCCCAATGTAGTCCAATACTGGTTCAGAGCCAAGGCAACGGAAGCCATGGGGGGGTTTTGGCCGTGAAATACTGGTCCACTGGTGGCTTCCGGTTGTCTAGTAGTGACAAATAGTTACTATATTATATAAGCTGACACGCTTTGCGGCTCGAGGAGTTTTGCTGATTTTGAGGCGGCGGGTGGCAACTATGTCTATTTGTTCAAACTGCTATGTATTTTTGAGCCAGGCTGTTCGCGAGAAACTCCTCTGTGTCCCTGATCATTTCGCCAACCAATTAGCCGGAAGATTGGGGATCGCTCGGGCCGCGTGCGGAAGATCGGCCGAGGTATCAGTGCGGAGCATGGCATTGGCCAGTGCAAACCGAACTTTCTGCACCTCAGCAAGGCGGACAGCGCCATCCAACTCATGAGGCGAGCGACACAAACCCGGGAAGCATTTTTCTTGAGAGAGAGGCGGGGCGATTAAACAACGGTTTGTGGAGCTCGAGTTGCGCACCCGTTTTGGGGCAGGTTTTGAGGGGCTTGAAAAACCGCACCCCTTTTGGGTTCTTTTTCTTGGGGGTGGGGGTGAAAACTTTGTTTGGAGGCTCCATCCTTGCACCCTTGTTCGGGCATTTTGGCTTTTTGCAGGCTCGATCGGTCCCATGTTGGCGCGTGGTTTTGTTGGGGGTGAACAATGCAAGGGAAGCCAAAAGAGGAAAATGACTTCTGGTTTTGACGAGAAAACTACAGAGGCAAGACCAATTCCTTTCTCAACGGATGCCGAAAGGGAAAATTGACTTCTAGTTTTGACGGGAAATCAAGAGGGGCAAGAGCAATTCTTCCTTTCAAGGGAAGCCAAAAGGGAAAATTGACTTCTGGTTTGACGGGAAGTCAAGGGGGGCAAGGCCAATTTGTCATTTCAAGGGAGGCCAAAAGGGAGAATTCACTTCTGGTTTTGACGGGAACTCAAGAGGTGCAATTCTTCTTTTCAAGGGAAGCCAAAAGGGGAAGCGACTTCTGGTTTTGACGGGAACCCAAAAGGGGGATCCGGTGTTTTTGTTTTCCTAGGGTTTGTTTTTTTGCTAGGGCTGGTCCCCTGGTTGGTTGGTTGGTTGGTTGGTTGGTTGGCTGGCTGGCCGGCTGGTTGGTTGGTTGGTTGGTCGGTCGGTCGGTTGGTTGGTTGGTTGGTTGGTTGGTTGGCAATCAACACCGAACCACCCCGAGACCCACCCTCATGAAGATCTAAGCAAGCCCAACGCCCCCCTAACTTAAACCAGCTCCCAACTGCCATGAACTCAGAGCGTGATGCTGGGGATGTTGCCAGCCCTGCGGAAAAACTAGCCCTAGCAAAAAAAAGAAACCGTTACTACCCCAAAAGGGGCAAGACCGGACCTTGCAATCTCTAGTGCAATTTCCAGTCAAGCAAACCTAACCATGGCCCACCGAAATCAGCTAAAACCAATCTTTGCAGTTGTGCTTTGCCCCATGTGCTCACCGAAATCCGCTGGGCTAAGTGCAACAACACGCTAAAACCGCTGAAGCGGCTTTTTGCAGGACTCTGAAGTCGGCCCTGGACCCCAAGGGCATTCTGAACCCCTACAAGGTCCTCGCGTGAACGCGACCCTTTGAAGGCCCAGGAGTCAAGTCCCGCTAGTCGGATCCCCCGACAGCCAGTGCACGCTTTCTTTGTGAGAGGTTTCCCTCCCAACATAAGCTACCAAATTTGTTCCCCTTTTTTGGCCATGGCCACCGGTTTCTGGGTGATCTTGATTTGGCTTGCTCAAACTGGAAAACAAATGTCTCTCCAATAGCCACGGTTGATTCTTTACAAGTAAAGCAACCATCCAAGAAGAACTGCAGGCCTTTCACAGCCGCTCCTCAAAGAGCCATGCCGCCGTGGATTTGTGTAAGATCTATGAACCTCGCTTTTTCGAATGCTCCCATCGTAGGGTTTCTTTTAACAGACCTCAAATGGCTTCAATTGGATTCCAGCGTCGGTCCAGATGGGCAGACCTTGAGGTCTCTGTGGGACCGCTGGCATGACCCACGAGCTTTTTTTGCCTTCTCTGGCAACGCTTAGTAACATCGTACATCTTGGTATTGATTCTTGACTAACTCACTTGCCCAAAGCGAATCGACCGAATTGGGTCTTTTACTTTTACCATTTTGGGTTCCCATTCTTTGTCATGGCCCCAACATTCACCTTGCAATTTCTGGGTTTGGGCAAATGAGCGTACATGATGAACACAGAAAATATGTTTTTCCTAGTTGTAGGGTCGAAAGGGGTCAGGGGCTCCTTTTGGTTTCACTTTAAATTCAAAAAACAAGTGATAAACAAGTCCTTAGTTTCAAGGCATATTCCTTCAGGAAGAGAGATGCAGCCCTGGTCATGCCAGCTGGCTTTTGCTGTACAGACTCAACTGAGAGGTGGGACGAGCAGAAGAAAACCGCTGTTCGCAGTTGCGCATTGACAAGGTGCTCGCTTGTCCACCGTCAAATTGCTGACCCTGTTGCTTTACCCCTTTGGATGCAAGGTTGTGGGTCCTCAAACAGTTAACCTTTGTTTTAATGGTACTTTGGGCAAAAATGGAATCTGAAAAAAGGAACAAACAAACACGATTCCCTGTAAAACAAATTAACTTTGGGTTAGCCTCACAAGGAGCCACTGGTGATCCCGCTCAAACACTCACAGCTCGCAAATCGAGGGGTCCCACCTTCTTGTAGCAACACATCCCTTTCCCTTGCTAGGCTACCCCTGATTGAGATTGGTGGTGTGAGGATTTGAGCCCATTGTTCTTGTTGAGGGTAAATGAGAAGATGTCCCCAAACCTCGCAGCCACCAATCCAAATCACCAATTGGGGAAGTGCTACTGGTGGAGTCATGTTTAAAAGGGCCCAACCACTTTGGCGGTGCTATGTTGAAGGGAGAACAGGACGTTCCATTTCTTGCTCGCCCACTCTGACCAGGGCGAACCCCCCTCACTTTGGGACCAAGTCAGCGGGCGGTCGAAAGTCCAGGAACGCACGAATTGTCTCAAAAAGTGAAATCGGTCCCCCAAATTCCTTTCAATACCAATCACAATGGGTCCGAATCCCATGTTGAGAACTTCCAAGTGATGGGAACCTTATCTTGTGACCACCTTGCGTCCCCCTTGGCTTGGTGAGCGGAGGCTCGCGAGAGAAATTGCCGCGAGTGATCGAGTGACCGCTTGCAATGCGTGGGGTATGTTCTAAAACTTGATCCTCCGTTATCTTGACGTGTTGTTCTCTTCGGAACCAGACGAACCCCGTGGATGTTTGACAATTGTTGGAAAGGAAGGATCCGGACGGGGAGTACAGCTAGACTGGCAGGTTGCTTCAAAGAAACGGGGCCGGGCCCTTTCCTTTGCACTTATCACGTAATTTATATGCACTTGGAGACAAATTTCAGTTGAGACAGTGCATAGGCCCCGCCCCCCACCCGGTACCCACCAGAATGGTTCGACCACAACTTTTCGATCAGAACTCCTAAGCCCTCAGAATGTTCTAATGGCAACTGCGTGTCAAAGCCTAGTGGTGACCGAGGCCTTGCGGATTCAGCGCGCGCTGGCGCAGGCGGTCATGATTCGTTGGAATGCGTTCTTAAGCTTTTGTTTAGCCCAATGCTTCCATTTGTCATAGTAACCCTTCGGGTCTCTGAGCTTTAGATTTTACATAATGACTCACCCTGGTTACCAACTATAGCGGCTTGCCTGGAAGCACTGGGAAGGAGTAACAAACAACACAATCTCGGGTCTTGTTAACAACGATCATATGTATTTCAGCTAAATCTTACCCTACACAAACGGCTCCCTTTTTCTGCAGGCAGGCTGTCATGAAATGTGCTCTTCTTCAAACTCTTTCAGTTTTTAGTGGCCTAAATAGGAAGCAAAGCATGGAAATGTGTAATTTGGTATAGCGAGTTCGACCAGGCTGTTAGCAGACCCTCAAATGCCGGCACAAGAAGGAATGGGTCTCCTTCCGGCCTTACAGCGGATCATAGCAATCAAGTTTGTGTTATTCCCGGGAGGGCGGGGGGCCCGGGCGGAGCCACTTAAGGGAAGCCACAACAGCCACATTGGAACGTTTTTTGTTAGGAAGACAAAATGGTGGTTTTCCTTCGGGTGTTTATTTAAAGCCACCACAAAAAGGGTACCCTCAAAAAACGACACACCCAAGTAATCACGATGAGCAATATTAATGAGTAGTGGCTTGGTTTTTCAAATATAATGCTCAATCCTTACCTTGGGTTACAAAAGGGGTCCCCTGTGTAGGGGTTTCCAATAATTATAGATTGGGTTTGGCCAACGCTCCGTTGTGAGCAGCCTATTTAGATTCCCAAAGCTTATTGGTTATTATTGCTGACTATCACTTACTACTGGCTTCACCCTAATTTGTGGTTTGGATTCGGAATTGACGCCCTGGTTCTTGTAGAGGGTAAATGGGAAACTATGTTCGGAATACGTCTAAATCACCAAACCAAACCACCAAGTAGCTACTCGTGGGCTTGCTGAGGCTCGAAAAAAGAGAGTTTGAGTGTGGGCGTATCCTCAAGGACCATAAACCCGACCCCAACAGTTCATGGTTTACCTGGGGTCTGCACAAAACACTTTTTACAACAGGGGGTTGGACAAATTCTGGATTGGAACATCCTCGGTTTTTTGAAGTTTTCTCTATGTGTTTCTCTCAAACCAATCCCAAAAATGGGCGCTCAAAACAAAGGAAACTTTTTGGTACTCACGGGTCGGGAAGTTTAGGTTCAATGGTTGGACCCGGCAAACCGGACAGCTCCAAGTTGCCATTGCCCCAACTACTGTGGCTTCCTGTGGCTACTAGCGAATCGCCCTGTCCACCTGAAACCTACCTTCCTTTCGTACCCGGAACCGCAACCCTTCGAGGACTTGACTTGTCCGGTAAAAAAGATAGGACATGGACCGATACCAAAAGGGAAAGGACCCACCAATACCCTGGCAAAATCGCCGGCTCGTTGCTTCGCATTTCGCACCCCTTCTCAGAAAGCCTCATGTTGAACCCTGATTTGTGAACACTCCAGAGGACTTGAATGATCCGTGATTGGACAACCGCAGATGACATGATTGTGTCTGGGCAAATTATGCCGACGTCACGTTTCGAGGGCGTGCGATGTGATCCATGACTAAGTTTATTTTCATAGGGATCGATTTCTTATGTACGGTGGGCAAATTATAATAACTTGCCCAGAGGGGTAGATTGTGTTTGATTTTGAGGGGTGCTTGAGGTTGACATTGTTCGAAAGACATGAACCAAGCATGACCCAAAACAGGGCTCCCTCCTTTCGCCCTTCGAGTCACTGGTTGCAACTGGGTGGTATAATGCTTACAATCATGATAATGAACTTAAACCCCGTTTTGCCACTAATCAGGGATACAACCAGGGATGGTTGAGGGAACCCCAAGATGGCTTCAATTGGAGAAAGGGCTCCATTGGATGTTGGGTTTTGCACGTCGGTTGCAACTGCTGTTGGGAAACTCCTTGATAGACTTTTAGATGTTTAGAGTTTAGGCAGGCAGCATATATGGGTGTTTTTTTGGGGGGACCCGTCCAAAATGGTTGGTGTTCCTTCTGGTTTCCCGTTAAAACCAACCAAAAGTAAGTACCTCAAAAACACAGTCTGCATATATGCTGGGAAATGCTTGGCTGAGTTGGGCTGACTAATGAAACTGTCGCTTGGGTTTCCAAGGAACATCCAACACATGTAAGAGTCAAAATATGGGGCCCAAAACACGATCGCCTGCCCCAACCTAAAATTAAGAAAGGAGACACCCAAATAGAGGAGGCCCCCTTTTGGTTGGTTTTCAGGGAAACCCGAAAGGACTCCATAGGATCCGAAACATATTTTTAAGAACCCAGATCTCAACCCACTAACCAAAGCTTTTGTGGTTTCCGAGAAGGGAATCTCAAACAGCAGTTCATTCCCAAGAAACCGAACTTGATTTCCTACTACTGCCAGCAAGACTAGGCCAAAGTGGTGTCCCCCAACAGCAGCCGCTTTGCACTTTTCCGGCACCCCTTCCGCTCAGAGCGGCTGGAGACCGCTCCGGAGCTTGTTTAGGCCGGTCGAGCTAGCTCGCTGGGGAGAAACAAGTAGATTTCCACACAGGAAACCAAGAAATTGCTAGCCAGGGACAAACCGGCTCGGGTTTCTACTGCCAGCTTGTGGAAGATTTTTGCTTCTCCCGCCCGGGATTCACCAAGAGCACCCAGACACTTTGACACGTGTGGAAACCCCAGTGTTTTCCCTTTTCATTTTTAGCTAAGAGAAACCTTGGTGATTGCCAAAGGCAAATTGATACCATTTTGGGGGGTCCAAGTCCTAAAAGAAGGCACACTCCCACTTTGTAAAGGAAAAAAGGGGGGAACACCGACGCCCGGAAGTTTCCAATTCCTATGCAGCTGACCACCTCACCACCTGGAAGAAGGCAGCTGTTGTTTTGTGCCCTTTCGGTTTAGCGAATCTATCACTGGAAATAGTTTGTTTGTATTTCCTCCGAGAGGACTTCAGCGCATGGAAGACACCCAACAACCGCAGGCCCGGGAGGCCCGGGTGGAGCTGCATTC